GGCTGTCGACTTCAGTGGATGTTACAGCTGCGGTCGTCATGTGACCACCGAGAAGCTCATATTGTGGACCCAAACTATTCTTATGTTGGCTGGCTGTGCTTATATCCACTCAGTACCATTGAGACTTGTGATACCTTTCACATGCTATTTGGTCCTTACTGGTATGCAGCTGCACTTTGCCATAAGGGTTTCGCACCCTGGATTGGTATGGCTGGGGTCAATACCACCGACCAGGGATCCTAGTGACCCTACCAAGCCTATACCCCCTAGTAACGGTGCCTGGGTTTCTTATTATGCATATCGTGTGTACCGCGTTATCCCGTTCTTGGATGAGCTTAGGGTGATCTGCGATTTTGCTAGCGCAAGAGGGACGGCGTTGTCGCTGTTCATGTGGTTCAAGCTGGAAGATGCTTGGCAGAATCTCTATCTGGTGCACTACGACATTGCTGGACGGGCTTCGATTGACCGACAGACAGGTCCGAAGTACCGTTTCCTGTTGGGTGGCAGTCTTCTCGCCTTCCTGGTCTTTGTCATCACTGGGCCGCTCACGTTCTTCTCCGGTCTCAACTTATTGAGAGAGTCTAATATGGTCACCAGTGCATCAATAGCTATCTCGTTGAAGGTTGGAGAGTTCTCTATTCCCGTATGGAATACCGATCATGTCGGTCTCAGAGTCCCACAGGCATCGGAGTACCCCCTCATGCCCGAAGAGTTGGTCTCTTATACAGCCATGCAGAGTGCTGACCTCCAGAACGCTACATTGCCGAAGGCTGCGGATGAGCTATGGCAACCGAGTCCACCACTTCGTCGACAGATCAGAGACTATATTCAGGCCAACCAGACACCTGATGGGGAGGTCAATGCGACGTTCTGTGTGACTTGGGAGTTTGGTCACTCCCAACCTGGCAGTGTACGGTCCTCGGGCTATCATTGCGTGCAGTCAGTGGAGCCGGCGCAGCAGCTTCTGGATGCGATGGCCTTGGTGAACGGTAGCCAGCTACATATAGACGGGCTCTTACCTAGGGCGCTTTATCTGAATGGCCCATGGGCAAGCCCTCCAGGGTCATTTCGCCAGTTCACCAACGTATCGTTGAAGGTTGAAGAGGAGGATTCTCAGATATGGTGGTCTCTGGCTGAGAACCCCACATTGGCGGTGGTCAGTGAGAGGGCGGTGCCGCCCAGTGCTGGAGGAGGTGCATCGGCATCCTCAACTCTCAGCGTCATCAGCCTCTATGTGGGCGTGGTTCTCACTATAGGACGCTTCTTCAGGCTGGTCATCCAAGACAGCAGTAAACGCATCATGTTTGAGGAGCTCCCATCGGTAACGTATCTCCTTCAGCTCTGTCAAGGAGTTCAGATCGCTCGTATGCGCCACTCACTAGAGGCTGAGCGTGTGCTCTACTACGAAGTTGTCACACTCTACCGTTCGCCAGCTAAGTTGCTGTCGGTCACTGGAAGCACGAGTCATATGCCTGATGTCCTTGTGAGCAAGCGGGCCTCAGCTCATGCAGCGTTAAGACGGCGAGCTGAACCACATGGCTCTGGAACCTCGGCTGCTGGTGCTCCCCTACCCCCTGCTGAGGTCTGATCGGTTGGACGCTACCATGGTCCGTTGAGGCCCGGATGTGCCTCCATCTGGCTCCCGAACTTTTTTTATACCATTGGGTGTACCGTCTTGGCCCTGACTCAACTCGAGTCGATTATATACGATTAGTGACAATTTAGCCCTGCAAGAGCACGCTGTGTGTTGCGTAGAAGAAGTATGGGGAAAAGGGTTGATGAGCAGTGATCGCGTTAGCATGTCGGCTTGTCCCGTGTCGCGGTCAAGCCATTCCGAGCGGCCGTTAGCCGCTGTGTTCCTTAGCTTATTTGAGACACTCGGGTCTGACACACTATGGCGGTGTTGGAGTATATGTCCGCTTCCCTCAGCTGAGCTCAGGAGTCCACATACGAATTCTGGTAGAATTTCTAGCCGAATTCGTACTGAGCTTCTACGGTAGAAGTGTAAAAAACCCACAAGAATTCCCAGAAATTTCCTCAGGATTTCCATATTATCACCAATACATGTAGTTGACCCTGTGCGCATTTCCACACAGTGTTGGGCCCACACTGCACCATGGTCACCGGGGCCGCGATGAGAGGTGCTGTTGATCCGAGTGGGAGTGACGCTAGCAGCAGTAGTGGCGAGTCCATGGAGTTACTCTGACGCATACGGTTCTCCTGATTGCTAGCAGTAATCAGTCCTTATGTTGATACTATGCATTCGCAGCTACACTTAACAGTTGCTCATGCTTCAACTGTGAATGCTCATTTCTCCTGCTAAGAGGACGTTCACAACGTGGAGTGCACCGTTCTTGTATCCATCTCTGGCCAGTCTCCTCGCTAGGGAAGGCCCAATGCCACACACTCTGGTCATGGCTGACTCCATAGAGTAATTTCCACAGCATGTCAGCCGAAACTTCCCGGAAGGACCGCCATAGGTTTTCTAGCAACGCAGGCAGCATTTTGCGGCACAGTTACCTCCTCGGCGTCTCTGGTGTGTTGTTCGGCAGCTATACAGGGGTTAGTGAGCACCAGTCAAAGTGAGGCTCTCGTCACACTGTGTGTGTGCTATCTATGTATTAGGGCGTGGATGAGGTCTTCGCTGCGAATGTCGATGTGTTATAAGCGTGGGGGCTGTCCTGTGGTGCCAAGCTGTGATATCCTCGCTGCTGTGGAGGAGCTGAAGATGCGTCTCGGTTACACAGTGTGCATCCTAGGTGACGGCTACATTACTGATGACAGTTGCCAGGTAGTGACTTCGTCATGTCGTATTCGACCATCGGACGTTCTTGTGGAGTTCAGATCCCCCGTTACGACTTGAGTCGGCCACAGACGAGTGGCAAGTTCCTAGAGGCTCCCAGGTTGCTTCTGATTACTGGCGGGGAAAGTCAGAGGCGAGCGGATGATCTACTGTGCAAGGCTGATGTTTTATGCGAGGTGCCCAAGGTCTTTCCAAGCCTCTAAGTTATCAGTCCCCTCAGGTCCCAGCCTTGCCCTACAGTCACTTCAGCTACAACGTCGGTTGTGCTGTTACATTAGCTCTTTTTGAGCGGTTCAAGATTACAAGAAGTTGGCCCAGACCGGTCACTATCCCCCCGACGTGTGCTTCTGTCTCATGATGAGCTGTCTTATCAGGGCTTACTGTGTCGGCGGTCTTATGCATGGTTTCTGTCACTTCCACGATATCGAGTTATCTACCGAAGGAATAGCGAGAGACTTACGGACTGGGGAGTGAACTCTCTAGTCTTGCCGTTCGGAGTGAAATTTTTGCCACCAGTGACGTGGTTGAGGTCGAGCATAAGCTCCTGTTAGATCAAGATAGGACCAGCGGTGTAGACGTCACAGAACGGTTCCTTCAGCCGTTTGCCTGTCTCGCAATGTTTGCTCGTGAGGTCGGCTTCCGTATGGGAGGTTCGTGCGCTCGACGGCGCTTCTCGGCTTGGACCGACAAGTACACTAACGTTCCTCTTTCTGATGTGCTCTGTGGAGGCGACTCTGGGATTCAACCACATACGCTGATCCTTATGAACGACGCAGAGTGAGTGCTCGATGATGAGTTGATGTAGTCCCTGTTGTCAGAAATCCAGGAGTTGTAGCTAGCGTGGTACGGAATTGCCACCTGCTTGGGGCCTCTGCTGTGTTACTGGGCACCACCAACGGATATAACTACACACAGTAAGTGGAGACTGTGGAGTTTAAAGATCTGGGAGTCCAGGGTTCATCGAATATGCCTAGTCCAAGACGCTACGGTATCTGCCTATGATCTCGTGAGCTAGTGGCTTAGGCTCAATGTCTGGGTTTCTAGGTCCTTTATCAAGAGTTGCTTGAGGCATTCTATGGCGTATTGCTTCGGTGGGCCGCACCTGATCGTTGGTGTCGAGTCCGCTTATGCAACTCGATTGTTGTCTACCTCCTATGGTTACACTATCGGCTCGCTGGTCCGTGATGGTCCCACCTGCTCTACTGTAAGAATGAAGGCGAGCCGATCGTTTGGTCTGGGGTATCCCTATAAAGCCGAGTACAATTTCTCGATCTGATGTCCTCCTTGTAGGCCATACCCACAGTGGACTTGAGCAGCGACGTTACAGACACAGGCTGGATGGGGTGCTCGCACCTCCTCATGACTGTGAATGTCTCCCAGTGTACAGCTAGTGATCCCCCCGAGGAGTATGCAGATTTTCACATGGAAGTAGGCAGTGACTTTGCTGCGCTGGTCTGCCGTGCCGATACACGGTCGCAGTCGACTTCCCACGTCGCTCATTTAATTTCACAGTTTGAATCTCCCACTTACAGTGTCCGCGCTGTCCTCCTAGCCACTGTGCAGAGGGTCCTCTTAGATACCCGTCGAGCTAGAGCTCAATTACTGTCTCACGGCGGCGATGCTTCAGCGTTACCGACTCACCCGGGACTGGCAAAGACCTCCTGTGTGTCCGCCCACAGCTATGAGATATCCGAATTTGAAGAAAGTCGAGGAGAATTTGTACCAGTTTTCGACACCCGTTCGTCAAGCCGCATGTTTCTGATACAGCAACTATCTGGCGTTACAATGTGAGCATATCTGATCGAGTTGATGTCCAGTTGTTCATGCTCGGATGCGGCGGCCTCTCTAGGAGACGGATCGCCTCGCTTG